GGTTGGTGACCCTTTTAGGCTGAGTGGGTGGTTCAGTGAGTAAGAGTAGATACGACAGATAGAGAGAGAACGAGTAAGCCTTCATCTCGCTAAGGCACCCTTTCGACGTTGGTTGCGAGACTGGTGCTTTCCTTTGCATATTTTAACTCAGCCTTAGCAGAGCGTTAGCAGGGGCAGTATCGCTATTCGTGGCGCGGGCGTCACGGTTTCGTGCCAAGCGAATGCGGTTTTCGTGTTTAGGGGGTCGAACTACCCCTGCAGACTATATTCCAGCTAAATCGAAGCTGAGGCAGTAAATGGTCAGTGTCAAAGTGCCTCGTGAGAACTACTCATAAGTGGGAAAAGCCCACTTGCAGAGGAACCCAAGCCATCACGGGTTTTGGCAGGGGTTCTTCATAAAAAACGATGTTATTGCATATGTGTGCTGATTATGTTGTTTAGGTGTTGATGCTCACATTACAAAATGACCCGCCTACATTGGAAACTAATGCTGACAGAAAAGATCAGTACAAAGCTTATGGAAAGTCGTTCCGTGCGCTTATCAAGGACTGTCTTCAGGTTTGTACCTTTGGAAAAGGAGTTTGTTTTAATTGTTATTGTGGTTTAACGCTGTTTATTTACCATTTTGCCTAACAAGGTTTGTTAAAGAAGGATCCAACGAAACGTCCGACTGCCTCAGAACTTCTCAAGTACTCGTTTTTCAAAAAGGCAAAAGATCGCAAGTATCTAGTTCATTCGTTGATAGAAAATCTCGCAGCTGTGCCAGTAATTAGCCATCACAATACAAAGAAGGTTGGTACTATTTTCCTGGTTTTTTTTTCTTTTTTTTGATTTTTTTTCTTATTTTGGTCCCTTATCTTGTTTGTTACGGAAATATTTGTAGTGAATATAATCCCTTCCTTGTACAAAATAGCTAAGCTCGCAATTGCTGAGATTTTACCTCTTCGTGGCTCGAAAGTGAGTAATGAAGGCGCTTAACCATGTCAACCTACCCCCCCCCTCAAGCCCCTGACAGCCCCATTGATAGGTAAGGGACCTCTGCCATGGTTGTCTAGTGCTCTGTTTGCCGTTCCCCTTGTAGTTCTGTTCTTCTTATGTTTTATCTCTGGCCTCTCGAACCCACGTCTTTCGTCCAATGCCGAAAGAATCTAAGTGCGGAAGAGCGCTGCTCATCGTCAAAAATGTTTTTGAACAGATTCGTCATATCCCCAGAAACGGAGAGGGCGTGTCCCCGGCATGAGGGAACTCTGCGACTCTAAATGAAAATGGCCGGATTGAAATTGTTAGATAAGCAGAAACGCGGGAAGAAGAAATTTTACATCCGACATTCCTACCGCGCCTTTATGTAAACGCTGCTCTGTGCATCTATGAGCGGCCTGTCTGACCCCGCTAACGCTACTGACCATGCCTCGTCCATTTCCGGATATGGGCGGGTGAACAAAGAGAGAAATATCATTCTTAAGCGCACGCTCCCGACTTGCAAATCGGAATTTTCTTTAATGTGCTTTCTGAGAGTTTATTTATTAGAAATGTTTATAGGTTGCATCAGGAAAACTTCGAAAGGATAAAGATGGTAACTGGGAATTCGAATATGACTCACCGGCAGGCAGTGAGTCGAGTGATGAAGAGGACGTACGAGCGGCTAAAGGCGCGGTTACCTCTACGACCAATGCCGAAATTCCCCATGCTGAGGAGATCGGTGCTCCGGGTGAAACCTTGAATCTTGTGGGTTACTTTCTAAAGTTTTTTGATGTTGTTTTTACGTAATCGTTTCATATTCGGTATTTTTCTACTTACGGGGTAGTGGTGGGAAGGGTACGGGCGATGGGATTAGAGGGGTCTTATGGTTTCCCTTCTATATCAGTGGGGCAACTATGCATTTGTAGTACTCTGCAGTGCTCAGCGCTGGCTGCCTTGGCTCGCTAATCAGGCGAATAGCAATGGGATTAGGCAAGCGCAAGGCGATTTGCTGTGTATTTCGCGATTACTGTCTCGCTGGTGCCACGCTAGTGGTTGAAATGTGCAAAAGCGGTCTGCTGTCTTCTGCTAGCGAATAAGTATGGAGCGTAAGGCTGCGTTCATACTTTGCGTCAGCGTTTTGGACGTACGGCAGTGTCTGAGCGCCAGCGTTCAGCAGCATTTGGGCGAACAGGAAAGTATGGATATCGATCCAGTTTGAGCGTACGCTGGCGTTTTGAGGGTTTTCGCGGCATTTATGAGCCTTGACGGGCAGTCGCTAGAAACGCTGACGCAAAGTATAAACGCAGCCTAATATTGTTCTATTGATTATATCAGGTTCATCAAATTCATGAAAGGCTTTAAATGATCGGGTTTCGATTTCAAAATCACTTTTAATTTTCAAAATGTGCATTGATTCGTAGGTACTTCGTGTGAGGAATCAGCAGCGTGAGCTAAATGATATCAAGTTTGACTATACCCGAACTGCGGACACAGGTTAGTTTTTGTATCAGTTTATTTTCCGTGTGTGCTTTTCGCCTTGTTGACGTGACGTCCATAATTATTAATTCAATCCTGAAGAAGGTACGATTCTGTTACGTTAGTCAAGTTTATGCATGATAGATAGAGGATTTTCGTTTCTTCAAGTGTTGCAAGAATTTCAATGATTCTTGCCTGGCGTTGCGAGCCTACTTTACATCCATTAATTTTTCTTTGCACTCTGTTTTTAGTGGAAGGTATTGCGCATGAACTGGTGACTGCTGAATTGATCGATTGTCACGATTTGGTGATTGTGGCGGCAAATCTGCAAAAACTTATTGACCTTGCTGAACAGAAGAGTGAAAAGCGATCGGTAACATTCGCACTCAACTCCGGCGTCGCTCCAAATGAGGTAAGCGTGATGAAAATAACAACTACCCTAACATAGTCTACTTGTAGTTTGCCACTGGATACACTCGAAATCCCTGAGATGTGGTAGGCGTGGCTGCGTACTTCAACTAAAAGTGGCGGTGGGAGTACTTTTGATCAGATATTTTTATTTCGACACAATTGTGGTCATGAGTCTGTCCAATATACAACAAGATGGCAGTTGTCTCGAACTGAGATGTTCCACGAGTAATCTATTCTATGCCATCTTAAATTGCCATGCCTACTCCGTCTCAGGGATAAAAGGTGTTAGTCCGCTCGACGTGGTGATCACCGCGCCTGCGAATTCCGTACGGGACACTACAACCTGTTTTTGGGATCAGTTGTTATTTCCAAAAATTCAATTCTGAAAGAACATTTCTGGTGGATGGGATCATATAAACAAACAGTGAAAGGTGGATGGTTGAAGAGCTAGTGAGGGATCCAATAATGGAGGCTTTAAACGGTCACTAAGACAATCGGTGTATAAAATTAGTTGTCTTGTGTGGCACCCCTGCTTGGGGCGTGCCACGGCGCCGAGAAAATTTTTTTCTGAACACGACTCCATTATAAGCGGGAAAAATCAATAGTAATATACTTCACCAGGGCAGAGTCCCCTTATACTTTCGCAGCTGAATGCGATCCTTCTTCCTTTCGTGTAGGAATAACCTTCGTTCGGTCTGCACTCCGTTTAAGCTTGTAATTTTTCTTCGGGATGTATTGTAGGTGGAGGAGCACACACCCTAGTGGGCATCGCGGTCCGACATTACCCTCGCCCTTACGCATGACGCTACGGAGTTGTTCGCTGCGGATGCTGGGGCATGTGAGGAGTGCTGGGTTTGGCGCGGCGCCATTCCGTTCTGCACCACTTGTTGAAGCAGGCAAGTGACAACGATTGGTGGAAAATGAGTTGGCGCCGTGCCAAACCCAGCTCCCAGCATGCGCGGCGAGTAGGACGGTACCTCTACCCTGAACTAATTAATGCATTCTATCGATTTCAGATTCCTGATGAGCGAACGCTGACGGGTTTCGCGCAGATATCGTTAATTGACTGAGCTCTACTATTGATCTACACATTATTGTCACTTGAAATTCATTCAGTTGCTCTACTAGATACCAGTACAATATTTCACGTCACGTATGATTATCAACACACAGATATCAGCGTGACGTGTATCACTTCGGTGTTTTCAGTTCTATTTGTTGTTATTGATTTCCTTTTTTATGTCGCAGTAGCTTTACGCTCTTTAACGCCTGATGTTACGCTCTTTGTCTCACCAGTTCTCTCTTGTCTTCATATTGTCTCTAGCACGAACGTCCATCGATGAATAATCGATTTGGTTTTTTCTTTTGTGATCGTCTTCTTCATTTTCATCATCATCATCATCATCGTCATCATCATTGTGTTTAAGTTTTCACGTCATGAAAGAAGTGCTCTTGTCCAGAAAAAAATGTGGTTCGATATGGCCGGTCACTAGTTCGATTCATAGTTATTTATATAAAATTAGGGTTCATATTAACTCAATATTTCCTTTTTTTATCACATTGATCGACGTGCTGTAAGGTTACAATGTGACGTCACAACTCACGCATAAGCTTAGCCGCCATGCGCATGCTTTGTGACTATTTAGGCGTTTTTTCTTATTTGAGGATGTACTTGGCACGCGTAAGTTCTCTGCTAGGCCACATGAGCTGTGTCCAGGCCGGAAGCGCGGGAAGTTGGGTCCTGGGGGAAGGCGGTCGATTCGCGCAACTGTCAACTATCAGACTGCTACCAGGGCGCTGCTGACCGTAATCGCCACCTCCATCCCGCCTCTGCGGCCAATCTTTTGTACCGGGCAACTCGTCCTGGTCGCTCATCATCTTGATCCACGTAATTGTATATAAGCCGAATTAGTTAACAACAATGGGGTCCGCAATGAAGGGTCGGCCGGAAGAAACCAGAAATCGCCCCCAGAGCAGACGAGAATGCGTAGGTAAGTCAACAGTACCTAATTCGGCACCAGTGTTGGCGTCTTGCCAAGATACAGTTACGTGGATCAAAATGATGAGTGTCCTGGACGAGTTGTCCGGTGCAAAAATATGCTACATAGGCGGGACGGGGTTTAGTGGCGTCCCTGTAGCAGCACGTCAGTTGGCAGCAGCGTCAATCCACACGCACCCGTTCGGGCTGCCCGGCATGGATGTTTCTCTTGAGGCTCTATTTGGTCATTTCTGCTCCTTTGTTTACTGACGGTAGTTTCCAGTAGCAGCTTCTCAGCAGTATATGTTCTAAATAGAAGTTGTGTAATGTGGGTCTTCACTTGCTCACCTTAGGCAGTTCCCCACCGTCCGCTTTCTTTCCCCTTTTGTGATTTTTTTTTCAAATTTTTTTTCCGATTAGTATAAGCAGCGCTTTTAGTGGTGTTAATGGCTGGCGAGTCTTGCTTCAAATGTTGCAGAGCCAACCCTAGTAAAGCTAAGTCCAAGCCTTGTCGCTTGCGTTACGCCGCTTCATGTCGCTCGCTTTTCCTTAGCCCTTTTCTCCTTCCTTTCTCTCCCTTTGCTCCTTCTTCTGCTCTCTCCCTCGCTCTCTCTCTCTTCTGACATATTTGCATCCAAGTAACTCGCTCAGCACGTACCCCACTCCCGTATTCCTTTTGTTCTTCGATTGAAAATTCAATTCATATAGATTATTTGTGTGCATCTTCTTCACATCACATGTTGGGTTTTCTTCAAACGTTCTGTAAATTATATGCAATGTTGAGTAAAGAATTTTATGGCCCATTTCTGTTAGCAGTGTATTGTTGATGATTTTGTCGCTTATTCAGGTGGTCGTACTTGAATATTTGTATCCACTGTAAATTTTCATTTTGATCACACTCGATCACTCGCTGTGTTTGAGGGTTGCCTTGGGGCAGTTTGCATGGTCAGAAATCCCCCAAGGCCTTTTAAAAATAGTCGTTTTTGACTCAAGAATCCGCGATTAGCCAAGATGCAGCCTCTAGTGAACAAGATGGCGGAGTCCGTAATTCAGGGCACATCGTTGTTGGGGAATCGTCAATGGGGGGGGGGGGTCGTATTTGGCCGCCAGGAGAGGGGGCTCGTGTTTGGCTGGGAAAATTTTTTTGACTAGTTGATTTTTCTCGCTTCACGGACGTTGTAAAAAGGGGAGGGGGTCGTACAGACTCGACTAGAATCCCCAACCAAATGATGTGCCCTGTCGTAATTACTGAACAGTTTAACTGCTACGGCTCGAAAGCGCTTCATGAACGGAGGTGGGCTCAGCTACGATGAGTTGGCTCCGCCCTCGTAAGCTAGCTCCTCCTCGATCGATTTTTCGCTATCAGTTCTCGTTGGCGGTGATAAGATCTTCGGTGGTGAAGGTCTCGTCAAACATGCCTCAGAGAGTAGCGTGAGGCGGCAACTACATCCAAAGAACTCGCCCAGAGTTCGCTTAACTCGTACATTTTTAGTGGGGTCCTATTTGGAACGTTTCTGACTGTTTCTTTTGCTTTTCTTCATATGCGTTCTGCGTAGAACTTGCGAAAGGCGATTACGAGTGCTGGCTTTCTTGCGAGCAAAGGAATGAATTTTGGGAATGCAGGCGTCCTCGCAGTGACCATGAGTGAATAAAATGTGGGATGTCCTTGACACTCGCTACAGCATTTAAGCTTGTCGCAAGCAACAACGTACGTCTCTACGTTATTGCGCCAGTATTATACAACCGTAGCCACGAGGCTGGGCTGTCCCTTACCGACGCGGGATCAGAACCCGTGAGCGTGCGTGTAGCAGCAGCGCGCACGCTCATTGCGCCAGAAAAGCCGGTTGGGATATGTTACGCTCAGGTCATATAGAAATGAATAGCCAGAATTATTCGTGATAGAAAATGTGAAAAATCGAGTAAGTAACTTGCTCTTTCCACTCCAATCATAAAGTTCCTTACTGTTCATGAGTGAAATCTGAACCGGTTTTTTTATTAACTTAACTAGTCTCTTGATTTGGTTGTCTGCTTTATACTGTTTCACGATTGTGTACGCTTTTTTCAAAACAGTCTACGGCATCGTTGGGCATAACGCGTAAGGAGATCGTTTCGGTCGTAGAGGGAAGATGTCACCTTTGGCCTCTAAACTTTTTTTGGATCTCTGATTTTTTTCCGTTTGGAAGAACGCCCCGAGTCCAAAATGGTGAGTTGCGGCTCAAATACTAATCAGGGTGGTAATTAACGTAGAAGTCAAGAAGGGAGCAGGAAAAGGCCGCCGTTATTGCCCCATATAGAGCCCCATGCCGAACCGCTTTTGTACGCGCATAAGACGAAGAGTGGGCGTGGTCGAACGAGTTCTCTCTCGTTGGTATCGGCTCTTTCTTCTTTTACCCTCGCTCTCACTATTCGAAATGGAAAGAACTAGCAGCGGAAAAACGGCACCACCAGGAAGCCTCAAAAAGTGAAAGTTGGATGTTGCGTTGGGCAGTGGGCAGGGTGTTGCCTACGTGGCAAGCATCGTGGTTCTTCATGTATTTCTGTATGTGACATATCCCTATGTTTGCGGATAGGACTCCCACAAAAACGGCGTCTGATGGTCAAATGGACGCGAGACATTCATTCAATGTTTGCTATCTATCCGCTGGTTAGGTGAAACGGCGAAGTATTATTTCTGGTAGTTGACTGGAGTTGTCCACAGCTCCCTCCCCCTCACTCCACTGTCGACGTCCAAATTTTGGAGAAAATTTGGTGAGAGCGTAGGCAGGTCATGAGAGGGGGTTGTACTGGAGGAGCGAATCCGAGGAGAGAACCTCGACACCACCCTATTTCACAGCAAAACATTGAACAGTGAGCCCGATCGCGAACATTTACCATATACTCCAAAAGGAATTTTTCTCATGCAGATTGCGTAAAGGATTACCTATAAAGCAAGGGATCCCGAACAACGTTTTGCCCTCATGCGCCTTCTCGATGTTTGAATCATAAAAATAGATTCGTTGATCCATGCAGGAAAGGACCCTCAACAGCATGCTCTCATTGTTACTCTTACTACCGCAAGGCGCTCGTTCTATGGGGTTTTTATCTAAAAAATATTTTAGGTGAAAATCTTGAACGCGCAAACACGCGCGCTCACATCGCGTACGCGATCTTGAGATAGATCTCGCATTCCTTATGCCTGACATAGCTTTCCATCCTCTGGGCGATGGTGGCCCGCCCCTCAGTGTGCACTCATAAATCTCTCTAATGACAAACTAGTCATTAGTGATCCAACAGTAAAGAAAAAAAGCAGAATTAGCGGTGAAAATGCCTCATATAGAAACCGCGATTGTACGAGCACAAGGCGAAGAAGGGGCGTGGTCGGACGAGTTCTCACTATTTGGTGCAGCTCTTCTCCGTGTCACCTCACTCTCACCAGTCGAAATGAAGAGCCAATAGCGGAGAAATCTCACCACTGGAAGAGCCTTAAAAATGAAGGTTGGGCGTTGCCTTCATTGCAAGCGGATGGCGCTTTCCTTAAGTATCTTTGGGCTGCAAATTTAGTACATCCTCCATCCTCGCAGCGAGGGCTACTATATCCAGTGGAAGCGCTTGAACATCAGTTGAAGTCGGGACGTGTCTTTAATTAATACCGAACTTATCTGGGTAGATAGAAACACTGTCTTCTGTCTAAATTGGCTGGTGGGCCACTATGAACCTTAATGGGAAAAGGATGCGTGGCGCATCCAAGAGAGGAGTCGATTGACACAGAAGCTTAACGCTTTATTCTTATCCTTGAACCTTTGATTATAAATACATTTATACAGAGAGAAATATCACAGTAACAGTAACCATCAGTGCATATCAAAAGGCTCTTGTGATATTATAAATGAAAATCAAGTATTTTTTTATAAACAATAGATCATCTTAGCTATTTATCCGTAGCGCTCTCGTTTTGTGTTACGTTCACGGAACAAGTCACATTGGTCGACAATGCGTTGGATAAGGTCGGTCGTGGAGATATTTTCTGTCCTATAAGAGCACAATCAAGTTAGGGCTATATAAAGTTAGAAGTGACGTAGTTGCGTGGCCAGAAATGTCGCTTCTGCACGTACGGTTCTGGATCGAGTTTTAATTAGGCCGTTCAAAGCAGTTGGCACGATAATTTAATACTCGCTCTAAAATGGTAGCAGGAATGCGATGTAGTGAGAAAACTGGCGAAAAAGCGAAGTGAAATGGTCGAGAACCTGCGAAAAAAACTTTCGTTCTAGCGATTTCGGACGAGTTTCCCGTTGGCATCGTGCCAATAACCGCTACGGTAGATACGGCTGCATGTATGTACTCATATATCCATGCAGCACCGCAGCCGCTTCATATCAATCCCTTCGCTTCACTTCGCAAATGAAGCGATACGAGCATCAGCATCGGTCGGACATTTGTGGGCGGGTGGGCGCGGTGGGCGTCCTGGGTCGGTATGTTGCAGCTTGATGAAGCGCTATAAGGGTGCTTTCTTGGAAAAGGCGCCACGTAGCGCCTGCTCGAGTGCGCCGTATTCTGTGCTGCTGGGCGTATCAGTGGTACACATCTTGAAGATTTGTCGTGCCTTTTGCCTTCAGAACGCAATGAATCACTCCCACCCTACCCTCACCTCCCTGCGATAAAACGTGTGAAAAGGCTTTGGTTGGGCAGCAGCCATGCCATCCACGCCCCATCAACAGCCTACCGTTTACAGGGATCATCTCTGTACTTCTGTAGAGACCAAATATGTCTCCAGGTGGGACATCCCAAAGGGCTCACGCCGCAGCATAACCTTTGTTAGGATGTAGTCCAGGACATACAAGTCGTGGCACTGTGTACAAACTGGCGGAGTGTTTATAAGCTAGTTGATTTCATACACTGTAGCATTGCCACGCTGAATTAGATCAGGTCTTGGTGCTAATGTCGCGCACTTGACGCCTTTTACGACCCCATTTTCTTATAGTCGCTGCCCTTCGGCTATGTTGATCTACACCCAATTTTTGAGTTTTCGAAAGATTTACTCATTGTGTGACTTACCGTTGAGTAGTGAGAAATCGGTCGATTTTCTTGAAGGTTTGTAGCAATCATCACTGTCAGGGCTTTCATAAGGAATGGCATCATGGGCGATCAGGTCGGCCTAAATATAATTTCATGGGAAGATGTGTTGATTTTTCAGTTGCCGATTCCGCCCCCTCAAAAACCGTCGCACTCTCAGCATTGGACCTTGATGCCGGTTAGCGGAGGCGGTTACTGGACTAACAAGCGGTATTGTTGGAGGGGATGGCAAATAGGCGCATGAGCCAATCCGCTCCACCCGCTCTGGCAGTAAGCGCTTGCACCCAGCCATAATGCCCACTGCCTTTAAAGCATGGACAAGCGTACCTGAAGCTCATCGAGAAGCTCAACAGTGGGTAGAACATTCCCATGATCAATGACGTTGTCCACATATTTGCATTCTGCCACAGAAGCGAAGCGTTCCTCGTATGTCATCACTAACGGACCACCTTTATACTTACGCACCAGTTCATCGCTGCATACTGTAATGTGCATTGTTTGATAGATATCGCGCCCATCATTTTCATATCAAAAGCAGTTCAACTCACTTCCAGCGGTCACGAAGACGTCGGGGAACGATTCTTTTACTTGCCGTAGTTGCCGGACATGACCATAATGAAACATATCGAATACGCCTTCCGTAAATATATGTATGGGTCCGGTCCAGTGGTACTGAATAGGTAGATGTAGGGTTATCTATATCAATTTTTAAGTTATCTAAAAACAAAAAAAAAAAACCAACCAACCCTGCTTCTGTAATCACGTTCGTTGGTGAGAGGTGTGGCGGGGTGGGGGGCGGGGGCAAAGAAAGTCCGAGGCGCAGCATGTCATGCCTTTATTCTGACGTCTTTTTAAAACTTTTTACTGAGTACCTAGGTCACTGTCCTATTCGATGAAAGGGCGCAGGAAGGCAGAGACGTGAAACAGTCGCACCGTTGCATGGCCCTTCTCAATGGCTGCGCTCATACTTTGCGGCAGTGCACCAGCGACCACACCATCAGCTTTTGAGCGTCGGTCAGCGTCAGCGGCTAGGAAAGTATCGATCTAGCGAACGAACGGCAGCGTCTGCCAGCGACCATCAGGTATCGAGGGACTAGGGAAGCATGGATATCGATCTAGCGTCTACCAGCGTCCAGCAGTGACCACCAGCGACCAAGATTACGGTGTCGTGTAATAGTACCGGTTGCGCTGCCATTACCCAACAATTTCACCGCTGCCTGATCAGCTGCCCTTCCTCCTACATTCCCATACTCTCGCCAGTGTCTACCCGACCAGGAGCAGAGAGTATTGGGAAGTAGGAGGGTAGCAGACTGCTGGTAGAGTATGGGAAAGTAGGAGGGAGGACAGCTGGATTCAGGCGCCGTGAAATTGTGGCGTGTGCAGCCGCACCGTACTACTACACGACACCGTAATCCTGGTCGCTGGTGGTCACTGCTGGACGCTGGTAGACGCTAGATCGATATCCATACTTCCCTAGTCCCTCGAGACGCTGATGGTCGCTGGCGGACGCTGGTAGACGCTGGTAGACGCTAGATGGATATCCACACTTCCCTAGTCACTGACGCTGACGGACGCTCAAAACGTAACGAAACGACGCTGATGGTCACGATGGACACGATGGTCGCTGGTGGGCGCTGCCGCAAAGTATGAACGCAGCCTTACATTTGCGCCAAAATCACTAGATATTGCTTACATTAACGGTTTCCTCATGGTTAGTCAGAACAAGACGCTATGCCTGAATTCAAGCGGAATAATGCTTCACGACTTACCGTCACCGCTTCTGAGCTGTCCTAGAGTATACGGGACGAACACCGGATCCCCACTAGTCATTGTGCTGGAATTTATAAAATGAGAAATACGAAATGAACTTTGTTGATTAAATGTGCGAGAGAGATACAGAAGTGTTTGTTTGTGCCCACTGATTCATTTGCATTTGTGGCTTATCCAAGTCTATAACGCATGAGTGGTGGAGCCCGAACGCTCCTACCCCCCTCCCCTCGTCCTTTGGTTACCGGTATTCTTACGCACTCCAGGTTTAGGGAGGGAAGATGAGGTGGCTGGAGTTACGGATTACTTTTTAAGGTCTGGCTCGAAGATGAAGAATGTCTCTGAAATTCTCACAGACACAAGCGTACAGTCATGATCTGTACAAAGGATAGGGCTTAGGATGCGGCGTGGCTTGTAGCGCAGCCAGAGCAGGTTTCACCAACTGTAGCGAGCTCAGGATGGCATCAGTGCTGGAATCGACGTGGCTGCGTTCCAGTTCGCGCCGCTCCACACGCCCTATCGGTTGCAGGTTTGTCGTTTATCGAGTCGTTAACGATTATCGTGCTTTTCGTTCTGCAGCTCCATTGAGAGGCGAGCCTTGAAGGCGAAGTTTGGAGGCGGAGTCACTGGACCTATCTTGCGTTACAGCGTCCCTCCCTTACAATTTTTGCCGCAAAACCGGTACAAGGTTGTTCGTCGCGGAGCCACACTACCCTCCCGACGCCATATTTTCAACTTACCTGATCGCGGACCGTGCCTTTAGGAA